GGTAAACAGACAACCTACAGAATGGGAGAAAATAATAGTAGCACGCTATGCACCTAATAAAGATCTAATATCCAGAATCTATAAGAAACTTAACAAAACAAGTGAAAACAACTCCATCAAAAGGTGGGCAAAGAACATGAACAGATATTTCTCAAAAGAATATATACAAGTGGCCAAGAAACAAATGAAAAACTGTTCCACATTATGCATCATCAGAGAAATGCAAATCAAAACCACAATGCAATACGATCTCATACCAGTGAGAGTGGTCATTATTAAAAAGCCAAAAAATATCAGATGTCGTTGAGTACACAGAGAAAAGGGAACTTCTTTATGCTGTTGGTAGGAATGTAAATGAGTTCGGTTACTGTAGAAAGCAGTTTGGAGATTTTTCAAAGTAAAAATAGAACTACCATTCAACCTAGCAATCCCATTGCTTGGTATATATCCAAAGGAAAAGAAATTGTTCTACCAAAAAGATGCCTGCACTTGTACATTTAGTAGCAGGACTTACAATAGCAAAGATATGAAATCAACCTAGGTGCCCATCAACAGTGGACTGGATAAAGAAACTGTGGCACATATACACAGGGAATACTATGCAGCCATAAAAAGAAAGAAATCAGCTGGGCATGGTAGCTCATGCCTGTAACCCCAGCACTTTGCAAGGCCAAAGTGGGAGGATAACCTGAGGTCAGGAGTTCAGGACCAGCCTGACCAACATGGAGAAACCCCATCTCTAATAAAATTACAAAATTAGCTGGGTATGATGGCACATGCCTGTAATCACACCTACTCAGAAGGCCGAGGCAGGAGAATCACTAGAACCCAGGAGGCGGAGGTTGCAGTGAGCTGAGATCACACCATTGCACTCCAGCCTGGGTAACAAGAGTGAAACTCGAGTGAAAGAGTGAAAGAAAGAGAGAGAGAGAGAGAGAGAGATGGAAGGAAGGACAGAGAGAAAGGAAGGAAGGAAGGAAAGGTTCTTTGAAGCAATGTGGTTGTAGTTGGAGGCCATCATTCTAAGTTAATTAATGTAGAAACAGAAAACCAAACACTGCATAAAATATGTGGGAGCTAAACACTGGATACATACAGACATAAAGATGTGAACAATAGACACTGGAGACTGTAAGAGGGGAGTGAAGATGGGGACAACAACCTATTGGGTACTCTGCTCCCTATCTGGGTGACAGATTCTACCTCAATGGCCTACCCCAAACCTTTACATTATGTGATATACTCTTGCCACAAACCTGCACATGTACTCTCTGAATCTAAAATAAAATTTGAAATTTAAAAAATAAGACAGAAAAATATCTAAACACTGTCTTCATTGTCTTGCATGTCATGCAAATCTTTGCCTTAAAAAGCAGGAAAGTCACCTCAGCTTTCTTTGACTCGGCTAAGGAAGTGTTATTTGAAGAATTATTTTGAAACCAGTATTAATACCTCATTTTAAAAACTCTCTGTATACATACATATAGCCCATATATATATGTATATACAACAATGTAATCATGTTTTATATTATTACAAAGAATCAAAAACTGTCTCTTATCTTGTTTAAAGGTAACATTTTTATGTTTGATTATATTTTTATAACCATAAATAAAAATTTTGACATGTCAGAATCAAACTGGTGGGGTCAAAATAGCCAATATCTAAAATGGCATACTGCACATTAGGCTAATATATTTGTTCTTGTGGTTTGATATTTATGTACTATAAATTAGATAAAATATAAGAAATGAAAAAAGTAATATTAAGTCATTAGTATTGTTCTTTGAGCATTTTAAATAGCAGCTGGTTATTTATTTGCTCACTTCACTACTTGATTTTGAAAATAGGAGCTGTAATTATAAACAGATTCATCTGATTATACTGTGGAGAATAGACCAGAATATGTCAATAGCTGAAGATAAAAATGAGTTAGGAGGTTATGGTAGGTATCTAATTGAGAAAGAACAGTGGTTTGAATGAAACAATTTATTGGAGATGGTGAGAGGTGACACCCTTATTAGAGAAAGGAAGATAGACACAAGAGCAGATTTGGTGGGATATAAAGTTGAATAAATAAGTCCAGGGCAAGAAAGAGCAATCAGGGCTAGAGGTGTAAATCTAGGACTTAACAGCACGTTCATGGTATTTAAAATTATGGCATCAGATAAAATTAATTAGGAAAGTTAGAGAAAATGCACCCTGGGCACTCTCCAACACCCAAACTTTAAGTGTGAGCAATTGGGCAAAGGAGGAGAGATCAGAGAGACAGGAGGAAATCCAGGAAAGTGTGATATCATGGAAGTATAAGAAAGGGTTTAAAAAAGAAGAGTGGCTGACCATGGTAAATGCTGCTGAGAGACAGTAGGGCGAAGAAGAGAATTCTGTAATGGAAGAGGAAGATACAGGTCTATGGAAATGATAAGAAACTGTTTCATGAATTAATGCAGGTACAATTTCAGTTGGAGTGGGATTATGAGAGAATGGGAGAAAAGTGGAGTTAGTGCCAACAAACAGTTCTTTTGAATTTTAGCCTGATGAAAGGGTTAATTGAACATTTTTTAAAAATAAATGTCACACAGCTGTATTAAGGCACATTTTCATTTAAGCAAGAGAGAGAGGGGATAATTGCAAAAGCAAAGTCTTTGAAGAGGTAGTGCTGATAGAGGTACTATGAGCTTTGGAAAGGATGAGGACAACCCTTCCCCGGAACAGAAGAGGAGGTGAAGCATATGGGAACAAGCCACTGGCTTTTCTGGGCCTCAGCTTCTTTGGAACAGAAGGCTGTTGAAGAATGTTTCCTATGGGTTAACCTCAATAATACTCCAATTCTCCCAAGCTTACCCACATTGTTGGCACAGTTAAGCTTTCCTTTTTTTTTTTTTTTTTTTTTGTTTTTTTGAGACGGAGTTTTGCTCTTGTTACCCAGGCTGGAGTGCAATGGCGCCATCTCGGCTCACTGCAACCTCCGCCCCCTGGGATCAGGCAATTCTCCTGCCTCAGCCTCCTGAGTAGCTGGGATTACAGGCACGCACCACCGTGCCCAGCTAATTTTTTGTAATTTTTAGTAGAGACGGGGTTTCACCATGTTGACCAGGATGGTCTCGATCTGTTGACCTCATGATCCACCCGCCTCCCCAAAGTGCTGGGATTACAGGCTTGAGCCACCGCTCCCGGCCAGTTAAGCTTTAACACCAGGCTCTTAAAAAGAAGTATAAATGTGAAGTGAATGAACCAAAAAGAAAAGACAAAAATGGCATCATCCACCCAATCGAAATGCCAGGCCTGTTTACCCACTCACCCCTGATTACAGAGTTCACCTCAGATCTTAGGATCTGAGAATGTTTCCCTCTGCTGAGATGCACTTTTAGTGGCTGCAAAACTAACAATTCCTCCTGGGGCATGACTCAGCAGAGTTATCCCATTACTGCCTTCTCTGGGAGAATGGAAGTGGCATATTACAATATCCTACGTTGAACTTTTCTCTTTCTTTTACTTCTGTCCATCCAAGCAGAAGCAGCATTCAGTGGTACTTCTTAGGCTACTTTATATCAGAAGTGGAGTGTTTTTTCCTCATTGGCTCATTTATCTCAAAAACCTTGTCAGAAAGATTAGGGTTTTATTTTAGGCCTAATTACTTTATTCTAAGTGAGAAGACAAAGTATATGAATAAAAACATAACTCAGATCATACTGAGCAAAAAAACATTATTTTGACCCATGATACATTTTGAAGCAGAGTAATTCAGATTTCCAATGGCACAAAAAGACTTGATTTCTACTTCGTTTTAAAGTAAGAAAACAAATCTGCTGATGCATTTTTTACCTTTTTATATCAATCACTAAGATTAGAAAATTACAAATGGAAATTTATAAAACAGCCTCTACAAAAGATTACATTAACTTATAGGATCACATATGATTAAATAACAAAATCTATATGAAGGAATTTTGAAACCGTAAAATACTGAGAACAAACAGCAGCATCTAAGTAGGTAAAATTAAAATATATGAGCCAATAAATGGGTTTTGAGAACAGAGGCAGGGAAGTACATGTATGATCATATTTTCTTACATTTATTTATTTAATCGAAAATAATAATTGTGTATCTTTATAAGGTACAGAGTGATGTTTTGCTCTATGTGTACATTGTAGAAAGATTAAGTTAAGCTGATTGACATATCCATCACCTCTCTATGGTGATCACAGTTAATAATAATGTATTGCATATTTTAAAATTGCCAATAGAATAGACTTTTAACATTCTCACTACATATATAATAATATTTTTAATTGAGGATTGGGTATCGAATTAATGTTGGAAGTCACAACATAAAAGTACTTATTTGTATATCTCAGGGGCAATGAGATTACACAAAGGAAGAGAAATTCTTAAAGCCAGTGCTGCTGAAATGTTTATTTGCATATGAATCACCTGAGAATCTTCTGAAGGTACAAACTCTGATTCAGTAAGTCTGGGGTGGGACTCGAGATGCTGCATTTCTAACTCCTAGGTCCTACTCGTGCTGCTGGTCTACAGAACACACTTTGAGTAGCAAGGCTCAACTCTATGGGGCTAAGGAGAGAGCTGGCTGTCAGAAAAAGAAGACTGAATAATGCACTCAGGGTGTCATGAAAGCTGGAGAGTGAAGGTCTTTATTGGAAAGAGATTCGAACAAGACTCACATATGTGAAAGTCACAAACTGAGCTGAAAGGAGGGAAAGAAGACAAGATGTGTGGGGTGAGCTGGGGTAACAAAACATCAGTAGCTGCATGATGTTTTTCCTGGGAAATTCATTTACAACTCCAAAAAGAGGGAACCCTTTCAGGAAAGAGAAACCAGACAGTTGAAAGAAGGATCCAAAAGAGCTTCAGTCAGCAATTATTCTTTATCAACCAAATATTTAGGTATTCCTAGATTTTAAAAGAATCACATATCTCTCAATAGATAGACTGTCATGAAAGATTCTTAGCACTTAATACTCAGATTATGACTTACCAAAGTCCTCTTCCTCAGAGGGGGTGCCTGCTGGTTCTTCTAGGAAAAAGCAGAAAAGGCAAAAAAAAAAAAAAAACATTTGTAGGGAGTGATGACTCTGAGGCTCTATACACATCTCTCCCTATCCAAAAAAATCTTAGTATTTAGAGTAACACACAGAATAACATAAGGGCAGTTGGACTGGTTGAATTAATTCTTTATGCACAAAGCCACCAATAATGAGCATTTATTCTTAAGAGGTTACCAAAAAAAAATTCATAAAGGTACTGGAGTTAAGAGATTTGGGGATGGTAAAATAAAGCTGTTAATTCTTCCATTTGCATCTGTGACTTGTACAATGTAGGTGATATGTACAGACTTGAAACATGCATTACCAAGAAATGAGGCATTATGTTTACTTTCACTTTCTGTACCTGCTTAAACTTCAGAAGACACATTAGTTATGAAAAACTTAATATGCATTAAATACCCTTTATTACATGCAGAATAGTCAGTGTAGACTAGGGAAAAGAGATATATTTTGAATTCAGCAGTCCCATTTTAATCACATTATGTGTGGCCTTTAGCTTTAACAGAAGCTCCCATGTGATAACTATGAATGACTCTATTCAATTTGGAAGGTACAAATTATGGTAATTTTGGGGAGTGGGGAGGTGGCACGTGCCGTAATGAACAATGACAGCATCCTAATGCTTCAAGTGTCACATACGTTAAACAAAAACACTAACACTTTCTATGAACACCCCATTCTCTCCCCATTCTCTGGTGTTTTATCAGACTTGCCAACTCATTAATTAGAGCTATTGAAAAGAATTCCCTCTATAGACCTCATGGGCAGAAATTACAATGCTTGGTCTCCCCACTGATTTCTCATCAATTGGACTAACAGTAGTAAATCATTGAGAATCAGAGTTGGAATAAAGATTCCAGGGAAAAGAAACACTTGTAAATTGTGTTCCCTTGGGAAAAATAATAATGATAATTAAAATAGCAACCAACTTTTGAATACTTACTATGCACCAGGTGCCATGTTTCATTTATGCTATCTCTCATTTAATATTCACAATAAGCCCTGCAGTAGTTACAATAATCAGTTCTTTTCTAAAAATGAAAAGCCAAGATTCCCAGAGGCAAGGTGAACTTCTGGGGCTAAACTTTGTTTAAAGTCACACTGCTAGTAAGTGGGGAACCTGGAATTCAAACTTAGGTCTGTGTGCCCCAGAGTCCATTTGTAATCAATACAACTACTAGCCTTCAATAATATCAAATGTATCAGAAAAATAAAGACTATTCACAGTGTTTGTAATGTTATTTACATTCCAAATGTTAATTGGAGGTGTGGATATTCCTCACCACCAAACACATACCTTTAAAACTAGCAATGGTGGCCCACATTCATCAGGACTGTAAGCATGATTAGGGGCATATAGGTTTCAGACTTACCATTTGAAAAGCTAAATGTAGTGCCTAAAATATCATAAAATGAACATCTCTCACTGGTTTTGTTAAAATAGTGTGTATGAGCAAGTATTGGTGCCTGAGAGGTATAATAAGATGTCAAGATCCAATACAGACAACTTTATTCCTGGTCCTGGGCCCTAAATGACTGAATTTGCCTTTAATGTCCCAAATACATTTAAAAACAACAACAACAAAATTTGAGGTCTATGGTTATCTTAAAAGGTTATATGTCATAGCACATTTTTTATCATACACTTCTAATAAAATTTTAGCTTATATAATAATGGTGGTCAGCCTCTGCCTCCATCCCTCTACTCCAATTTTCTCCAGCTTTCTCTACTATATATACTAGTAAATGCCACCTGCAGACTGAGTCTCATTTGGAACCAGTGATGGGCACGGTGGGAAGCATATCAGTAATCTCAGTCCCTGCCAATGAGAGGAGAAGGGAACTGGGAGTTACTATAACGTAGGTGCTTCACAGATGTAGTTAAATCCTCATGACAACTGTATACTGTGTCATATACTCCATTTTACAGATATGAAAACTGAAACTAAGATGGTGAAAATATTTGACCAAGGTTGTACCATGTAATTGGTTAAGGAACAAACAAAGCAAAGAAAGAAAGCAGGATCTGGTGGTCTTCATCTCCCAGGCTAAATTCCATACAGTATAGTTGTGACTCCTCTTTCTCAATTTTGCATATTCAGTCAAAAAAAAGCAAAGTTCATATTTTGGTGTGGTCAGTTTACATGATGGTTGAACCTGCTTTCTGTATCAGCTTATGTCTTTTTCAAAAGTTGTTTGGGAGAACGCCTTGTGGTGTCTGCATAAGATACCAAAGCCATGCTATTTTGATCCTGACAACAGCTGGGAAGACTGAAATCTAATGTGGACATGCCCCCTGCCTGCTTAAATCAAGTATAGTAAATTTAGAATGAAGTTTCAGACTAAGAGCCAAAAGACTTAAACTCTCCAGTTTTATTGCTGGGCCTTTTACTATACTTTATTCCCTTTTGTCTTTCTTGCTTGGAAGGTATGTTCAGGGGAATGAGGACTGGTAGGAGATAGTGGTAGAGGAGGGGGTAACAATGAGTGGAACTCATTGATGTGAGAGTCATGTTCCTATTGTGTCAGCCTGAGATCTTACTAAAAAGAAGCAAGACCCTAGACCCATAATCAAGCATAGCATCACTAATGATGGATCAACTAGATGTTTCTCCTGATTGAGGCAACAGAGTTTATACAGCATACCTAGCTAGGACATATTCTGGCTCAAAATATTCAAGAGGAACCACCACCAATGATTTAGATTTAATCTAACCTACACATAGGCAATAAAAAAGATACATAAACTAAATGACATTACTGAAAAGAAACTAAACAAATCCAGAAAGTGAGATATTCTGCATGGCAACGGGTCAGTATCAGAGGAAAAAGGGAATGTGCTAATCAAAAGAGACTTCAGGAGCATAACCACTGGATGCAAGGTCTGGCCCTGGATTAGATCCTGATTCAGAAGGAATGCTGTAAAGACAGTGAAAGAAGACAATTGGGGCAATCTGAATATAGAATGAATATTAGCTAATTTTAACATTTGTTACATTGGAAAGATGGAAACTCTTAACAGAAAAAAAGCAGGTAACAAAAAGCACCTAAAAGCAAAATCTCATTATGGTACAAAAATTGTATATCTGGAAGGAAATATAATAAAGATTATATCAGTGGTGATTAAAATATGTTGCTTCATTTAGTTAAATTTAACTTCAATGTTTTGACTTTCTGTAAATCATGTAAAATTGCTTTTATAAGCAATCTACAGATCATTTTATAAAAAAGACACATACACTCATGTTTATTACAGAACTCTTCATAATACAAAAGTTACTGAATCAACCTAAGTGTTCAACAACAGTAGAATAGATAAAGAAAATGTGGTACATATACAACCATGGAATACTATGCAGCTGTTAAGAATGAAATCATGTCCTTTGCAGCAACATGGGTGAAGCCAGAGGCCATTATCCAAAGTGTATCAGCACAGAAACAGAAAATTAAGCACTGCATTTTCTCACTTACAAGTGGGAGCTAAACAAAGTGAACACATGGACATAAAGATGAAAACAATAGACACTGAGGACTCTAAGAAAGGAGAGGAAAGGATATGGATACAAGGGTTGAAAAACAACATATTGAGTACTATGTTCACTATTTGGGTGATGGGTTCCATAGATGTCCGAACCCCAGCATTATGCAATAAACTCACATAACAAACCTGCATATATACCCCTGAATCTGTAATTTTATAAAACCTGCTTAGAGTAATAAAAATTATTTTAATTAAAAATAATTGTTTTTAAATGGAAGTGTATGGATCCTTCTAACAAAGCCCATTTTTTAGTACCCAGAATACATAACTAGTAGGTACAATTTTGAAGAATCAAACCCAAAGGTGGTGCCTTTTAAAGAATGACTTTAACTTCTATTCACTCTTTGGGTTTCAGGTGCCAAGGATGAGTCTCTGCACTCATTTAACATTTGAATTACTCTAGCATTCTTGTCACTGTCAGCAGCTTGCCCTCACCCTCTGTGTTGGGTTCATCAGAGTGAGAATCTGGGCTTTTGCCTGAGTTGCTTTTCCCAGGGCTCCATTCCCCTTTCCTGAGCCCACCTGCTTGGCTTTGGCCTGAGGTCCTACCTCACTTCTGCCAACGCTGAAGACTGAATCCTACTCTTAGAACTCCAACTCTATGACTTAACTATGTCTGTAAATATAGAGAAGGCTCACAGCCATGATGCTGCCATTTATCTGAATTTCCAGCAACTTCTCATGGAAAGGACTGCCACTTCTGTGCCCTGCCTGACAAATTGGATTCTTTGTGATCGCTGCTGTCTGTCCAAACTATGCCTGATCTTGGCATGCCTTTTATACTGCAATGGACAAGGCAACTGCTCTTGTAAGGTAAGCCTCTGAAGCTGGCTTCATTTCCTAATCTGTTCTGGCTTCCACCTTCATTCTACTCACTGGCTTTTGCTATAGAGCCCTGAAGTCTGGAAGCCCAAGACAGAGCTGATGCCAAGTCTGCATCATCTGAGAAAGAAGCTGATTATAAACTCACTACTGAGGGCAAGAAATGGAACCAGGGTAAGAGTACAACCGTGTCCAGAGGCTTATTATTTCCTTCCTTTAATTTATTCCCTCATTTAGGAAACATTTACTGACCTGTAACTGGATATCAAATACTATGCTGGGCACTGGGACTACATAGGTGAACAAGAGAATCTCCGTCCTCAAGTTGTTTATAATGCATCAGGATGGTAGGTCTTAAGCAAATAAACATATCAATCATTATTTGCTTAAAAATGTGACACGATAGGTGCTGTGAAGAATAAGTACAAGGTCTGAAGCATTTAATCCGGAATTTAAAGGATGAGTAAGAGATCACATGATGATTGGCAGCTTCAGCAAAGGGCAAGCATGTGCAAAGATCCTATGGTGGGAAGGAGCTTGGCAGCTATGAGGAACTGAAACAAGGGCAACGTGTGGCTGGAGGACACTGGGCAAGGGGCTGAGTGG